CTTGAATAGTACTCATGATGAACATGATGTATAATGTTGGTGTTGCAAGAATGTAATTGATGTGGCTGCACTTTTGAGTGATCTCTTTGAATCTTTTGTTGACTAGATGTGTTGTGATGTGAGCCTTGCAATGAACATTACACGTATGTTTTTATCTTTTTGGGCTATGCTAAATGAGTGTATTCGAAGTGCCATGTTTGGTGAGATTTTACTTGAAAACATGTGTGTGGAATCCTAGAATTTTCCTGTTAGTCTACTTGTCTAAACCTTGGTATTTGTAAGGCGTGATCTTGGGTTGCAATTCTAAGAGGGAACCCAAATTTCCATTTCCTTTGTGACTACCTTGTGACGGTGTGCATCCATTTTGGCTTCATTTGAGCTTAAACCATTTGTTGACAAAACCAAAATGAAACCTCTTAAGCCAAATTGTCCCTACCTTCTCACCCAAAATCCTTTTTGAAGAACTGTTAAGTTTGAATATCCAACTTACATCAAAAGCCTAAGTTAGGGATATGAAAAGGAAGGAGGAATGAAAGCCAAGTAAAGGTACAAAGAAAGACGAAATAAGACTTAACTTAGTAGTTTGTTATTAAAAGAAGTAACCCCTACTTTTTTTTAAAAAGAGAAATATTATGATGAATTTTTTTTATATGATGCAATTTTTTTGAAAAATGGAAAAGAAAAAGAGAAGTTGATGAAATAAAGGGGATTCCGAATAAAATGAGTGGAAATTCAAAGTTTGAGTTTCCAAATGAAAAAGAATAAAAAAACTTGAGAAGATGTGAAGATGATTGTAACAATACTTTTAAAAGGTGAAGCCATTAAACCAAATTGACCATACCTTAACCCTCAGCCCCATTACAAGCTTGAAATACCCTTGATATCTTGCATGAACTAGGTTGTGTGATGATTGGAAAATATAGGCAAACCTATTGGATGAAGCTTGCATGTATTTCTCTTTTGAGAGAGTGAGAGTTGGATTGATTCCTTATTTCTTTGTTGATTTGTTTTTGAGAGCATTGAATCGTTCTAGATGTGAGGACACTTGAATGCATTTGTTAAAACATGGTCTTGCATTAGAGAAAAAGCTACATTGAGCTTGAGCTTATGTTGAAATCGGCTAGTGATCATTTGAAGCTTTTTTATCACAATTAAGTGTACAATGTTGTTGAGAAAACTTTTATAATGACACTTGTATGTTATCTCCCATTGAGAACTGTTGTAGACACCCTTATTGAGCTAATTGTGTTCTTCATTTACTTGAAGACAAGCAAAAATTTAAGTTGAGGGTGTTGATAAATGGTAGATTTACACTCATTTGAGGCCTATTTAGCTCAACAATTAGTATCCTTAATGCCTAATTATGTTCTATTCTACTGATATTTTGATGATTTGCACCTATAAAGGATAAAGGACAAGGGAAGGATGAATGTTTGAAAGAATGGCAAAAAATGTAAAAGAAGTGCAAACTATACATTGATGATCGCCAAATAAGAAAGAGAGATCGCCTAATGGGCATGACCTTACCCAAATTGATAGTGCACAACACTTACATCTATTGAGGCAGGTCAGCGTACTCCAAATGGAAAGACGACGCACCAAATGAGAAAGGATGAATATGTTGACCATCGCTTAAAGCAACAGTACAAGGTGAATAGTAGAAGGCTCAAAAGGTTAACTAAGGTGGTACTCGACGATACGCCAAATGTGAAAGGCAGAATTGAGTGAGCTCGCTGACGGAGGTTCAAACACTTGAAGCCTAGAGAAAGAAAAGGTGATTTGAAGAGCAAAGGGAGATTCACCTAACATGATCGGTGAGCCCGACTAATGTCGCCCAATGGGTCATGTAGTGAGTTTTGGGCCATATTTTGTGAAAAATATAAATATCCCAAATGAGAGAGATTAGGGAGTTCGGAGTTTAGAGTTCACAAAAGTTAAAATAGTTTTTGGTGTATGAACAAGTGAGAGGAGAACAACACCTACCTTGTGAAGAACACTTTCTAGTTTTTGGGGTTTTCAGCTTTTGTTCTTTAAAAATGACAAATTGAAGTTGAATCCAAAGTGGATTTGCTTGTGATTGCTTAATTTTATGTTACTCATCGCTACTTTCATGAAAGGTATAATCTTTCACTTTTTGTGATGGATGGCTAAAATCCCAAGATCTAAGGGTTCAATTATGGGTTGGGTGTGTATTTAATGTAGTGGGTGTTGTGTTATGCTCCATTTTGTTGTTGTTCATATATGAATTTGGGTTAATTAGCATGGGGTTAACTTATGTGTTAAGGTTTCAAACTTAATTTCTACTTCTGATCTCCGGTTGATGCTTGAAAGAGATCAATTTGAGTGGGTAATTATTCTGATACTATCAATTTAGGTTTGATGAATGTAACTTGCTTGAAAATAGAGCTTATGGTTCCGATCTATTTGCTCTATTTCTGCATGGAAAGAGAGAATAGATTAAGGTATTGGGTTGTTTAGTATAGCATATCAATGAGACCGAAAGGAGATTCAATACAAGGATGCTATGAGATCAAAAGATGATTAGCATCATTGAATATGACTTAGCTATTAATGAATATTCATCACTATAGAGAAAGACAATTACCCCTATGTGACATTAATTTCAAATCCCTACACCGTTGATTTTTTGTTACTTCTTGAATTTCCGAACTTTTAGTTTAATTCTGACCATTGATAACCAAATTCTTTTGTTAAATGGTTGGAATCATCCCCCCACTTGTTTTTACTTTTACAAATGAATGATTTTACAATCCAAATATCTTGATAGAATTTTCTACAATATACCATTCTCTATGGGAATCGACCCCGACTCTAGTTGGGTATTTTTATTGACGACAACCGTTATTTCTTTTAATTGGTTTTACAGAGTACATTTGAGAGTTATCACATGACCTTGATCGTCGATTGGGATTCAACCCCCTCACTCTACTTGTGACTCAAATTCTGACTCCCTAACCTAGACTTGACACCCGAACCAAACCCTGACATCTTAATCAGGACCTGACTTCAAAATGACAACCTGATCGCGAAACCTAATGTGGGACCTGACTTTTGATGTGGGACCCTAACTTAACATATGACCCGAGACCCAATCATGACCTCAGCTTTCGACTCCCGATTCCTAACTCTTGACCTAGGAATAAACTTCCAAACTAAAATTTGACCCCTGACTCCCTACATGGATCCGACTTTCGAATCAGGACCCAAACTCGATACCTAAACCTGACAAACGATCTAGGATCTGGCCTTGAGAACTGACTACAAAATTGAGATCTGACCCCAATTCCCAACTCGGGACCCAACTTCCTAACCAAGACCCAACACCAACACCTGATGCGAGACCCGAGCCTAACACCTAACCTAGGACTCAATTTCTGAACTGTGATTCGACTTCAATACCCGACCCCAGTAATTAATTGGGGACCCAAGCCTGGCACTTAACCTTGGACCCAACCTCGACTCTCAGCCTGTAACCTGATTCTGACATCCAAATTGGAACACCACCCTGAAACATGACTCAAGATTCGACCATGAATACTTAACTAGAACCCGACACTAAATTGAGATTCTACCCCAATCTAATTTGGGACCCAAGAGTTGGGTCTCGAATCAAGGTCGAGAGTTTGGTCCCGAATTGAGAATCAGGAGTCAAATTTTGAATTAGTATAGGAAATCGGTACCCGAGAATGAAAGTTGAGGTGTGAGATTTAAAAATAATTTTGGAAAATGTTTTCCTTATTTTTTCGAAGGTAAGTCATTTTCTTAAATTTGAGGAAAATAAATTTATTTGGAAAATATTTTTCAAAACATTTAAGCCAACCAAACATAAGAAAATTGAAAAACATTTTTTAGAAAATGTTTTTCTTCATACCAAATAGACCCTTAATGATTGAAAATATGAATAATTTAAAATTAAGATTTTCATTAAGTGCAATTAAATTAGGGCTTAGTAATATCGTGTGTCTGACCTACAAATTTAGTTATGCTATGAAAGGAAGAGTAATTATTTTTTACAAAATCGATGCACATGATTGTCTTCTATTTTCATAGTACAAAGAGTTTTGAATTTAAATAAATAATATTAGAATTCTTACATTATTTTTTTACATTTTCATCTAATAAGTGATACTCCCTCCGTCCCAATCTATGTGACACCGTTTAGATTTCGAGATTCAAACAAGTCTATGTTTCACCGTGAATTTTTCATATATCTTTTAAGTATTTTGAATTGTCAATTATTATGACTTATAGTTATTTTTACGTAGTTTACAAATATATAAATTTCATTTCAAAAAATTTGAAGATTCTATGCGCAAATTCCCAATCAAACTTAAGTTATTCGACTCTCGAAAAATGAAAAGTGCCACACAAATTGGGACAGAGGGAGTATTTAACAATTTGAGAATCAAATGAATTATTTTAATGAGTCTTTGTGAGTTTGCTCTACATTTTATATTTTCTTTATTTAAATATTTAGTTTTTCCGTTGCTTTTTGTTTTGTGTAGTATCCTATATATTATCTCAATTAAGTTTAAGTATGTTGTATTAATAAGTTATTCTATCTTTCAAAAAATATAAATGGCAAAAAAAAGGAATAAAAATAGAAGTATAGTGAAAAATATGTAAAAAGACAATATTAGACACCATCTTCTTAGGTTTTATCGACACAATATGGAGTAATTTGAAAATTAGTCTAAAAATTTTCAGAACCAGGCGGTGATATTCTCTCGACTTCTCCCCTTATTTTTTAGAGGGAGAAATTCCTTCTCCCCACCTCACGAAATTTTAGGGCTTAACTGAACCAATTCCCTCTTTTCAACATCTTCCATATAGAGTAAGTTGTCGGATTACTGAAAAGGTTAGTAATTTGTAATTTTTATTATTATTTTCATACAGTTCATGCCCAAAATTGTTTTTGATATGTTGATATCTGGTGTAAGCTTTTAGTAACTGGAATTTAGGGCTTTAGAAACCAAAAATGGCTTTTAGCAACCAGAACCTCTGCTATTTAAATAGCAAAATTTCAGCTTCAGTTAACTTCAACCTGCGATTTCTTGATCTTGGGAGCTCCGATTGAGGTGATTCAAAGTGTTAGGGGTCCGTGTTGATTGTGGCTACACGTTGGAGTGTTTCAGGAGTGTTGAAGGCTCTCCATTTGAGGTATATTCCTCCTGAAGGGGCTATCATCTCTCTTTTGTTTTTTTTCCATTGATGTTTTATTTGCATTTGGTTTTTTTGTGTTGTGCCAGGCATGGAATCGAGCCCCATTTTGGGGCACAAGCTCGGTAAGGCATTTAGGACCTTTTGATAGAGTCAATTTTGGGATTCACGGTGTGGGCCCCGTATTCCCATTTTGACTTGATTGTGGGTTTATTTCCAATTGTTGCGATTTTAGTGTCTAAACATTTGTAATTACATTGTGATTGATAATTTGATAGCTTGGCGATTTGGAGGCCTTTCAGAAATGGATAGCTCGTGTGTGGTGGATTCGGGGCACTCATGATCGGCTTTGAGGTAGGCTTTCGTATACTTTCTTGATATAACTTCTTAGATAATGTCTAGTATATATTTCATTTAATTTTGGATTGTATTTTCTGGTTATTTAGCTTGCCTCTTGTTATTCCATCTTCTCTTGATTCAGTAGGAGCGTTGGGCTTAGTCTGGGTGTTGGGATTGTTGGTTTCCCTTTTTACCACCTTTGTGGTGTGTTTTAGTTGTGATGCCAATACTTGTTTGATAGGTGGCTAGACAAGCTTCGCCCGATTTGAGTTTTTTTTGTTGTAGGGCCTAGTTGGCTTAGTTGTGTGTCGTTCCTTTTGTGTAGTAATTGGGAGATTTCTAGTTTTCGGAGTTGTGTGTTGGGTAGTTCACCTCCTTTAGTCTGGTAGTTTTTTTTTTGGTTGCTTTCTCCCTTTTCCTTAGTCTTTTCTCGATTGTGGAGTTTTGTTTTTGCTTGCTCGGCTCCTTTTGGATTTGTCTGCTTCTTATGGTCTTGGGGTTTGGTTATGGCTAGATGGAAGTTGGAGGTGTGATCCTTTGCTGCGCCTGGATTAGCTGTAATGTTGGTTCTTTATTGCTGTGTTAATATCTCTCGAGGCAAGTGTATGATTTAGAGTCTGAATGGCGATATTCAAAGGTGGTTTATGTTCTTAGATTTGTTGGGAAATGGGAGTTTGCTAAGAAGGTTCATCTTCAAAATGGGGTTAAGGAAATTCATGAAATCCATGAGTTGGTTATAGTTCAGGATGTGTAGTTTGCTTTATCATGCTTGGTGGCTTGCATAGTTCATTATTAGGATTTGGTACCCTTGGTCCACTATCAACCAGTTGCCTGTGTTAATACGCCGCATGTCGACTTGGTTTCCCTCAGACTGGGTGGTTGGTTTAGATTCGCGGTAGCAGAGTAGCTTGTGGACTCGTAATGTCAATTTCTCAATAGTTTGTTTGCTTGGAGTATTTCCTTGGAGCTGGGCTCTGTGCAAATTTGTCGTTCACATGATGGGTGTCCTTTGGATTAGCATGGTTAGCTTCAAAAGGTTGTGTCTCAGCTGGATTTGTTGGCCTTTGAGATCAAAAGGTAGACTTTGGGCCTTGCCTTGGACTGAGTTCCTTGTTTTGACGGATATTGTTCCTCGATGTTCTTGTGGAGCTTGTTGTCGGAAGGTTAAGTTATGTCAGTTTGAAGAGGAGATTGAGGTGGTGCAGGTGATGTTCAGGACGACTAAGAACCGAAAAATGCTCTTGATCATTATAAGGTGTTAGATGTGGAGCATAAGGTTAGCTTTTTGATTTGGGAGTTGGGTTGCATCTATCGTGGTCCTGCGGTTGCTCTATTCTATGGTTTTGGTGTACTTCTGGTCTACTCACCCAAAATTGATTTGGAGGAGTTTTTGGAGTTTTGAAGTGAATTTGAAAATTTTCCTCTTAACCTAAGTTCTGTGATGGTGTTGTTTGATTAGAGAGGGCGTCTGAGGGTTTGGTGGAGCATGCGGACTCAATATCCTCATCTTTTTGGGTCTTCAGGCTATGTCTATCATTCTCAATCTATGTTGCACAAAACTATGAAATTGACCAAACCAAAAAATAGAATCTGGAGCAAGATGAATATGCTAAGCCGGAAAAATAAATCTGAGAATATTATCTAAGAGAATTGTATTCAGAAAGAGAGAGAAAAGTTATTTCATTAAGCACGAATTTTGGATTCTCATACAACTTGTATATATGTAATGACTAAAATGAATCAACTGACTATTGTTGCAACTAACTTCACTATAACAACTAAATCCAAACAAACCAACATATTCTTAACCACTTTTGCCACCTCAACTAATCAATTATTTAGCTAATTTAAATTCCATTTACTTGCAACAATTCCCCTGACGTAGAGCACCCTTGACCTCTAGGGTTAAAAGAAGGAATCTTGTGTTACAACTCAATGAGGAACTGTCACGTAGCTTGATCTTCAAGGATACCTGTCCAATTGACTAAGACTTATCTAACAACTTTGTTGCCCATCTTCACTAATCTTTTTTCCAACACAGTCTCAAGAGAATGTAAATAAGGAATGGATAAGTTAAACACTAGAGGATGGGTAATAACCAATGGTAACTCATGACACCTCTTAAGTTGAGACACATGGAATGTATAGCCTATAGACCAAAGTACCAATCTCAGCATTAATAGGGTAAGGCCCAAAATACTTGGTTTCAAGCTTATAAAAGGGCCTAATAGATACGAAAACTTGTTCGTAAGGCTATAATTCCAGATATACCCATTCTCCAACAGTGAAAGCCTTGTATGATCTATGTTTATTTGCTAGATCCCTCATTCGTTGTTATGCCCTCTCTTTATGAAACGTGATCAACTGTCTGATAGCCTCTCTAGCAACCAAGGACCTATCCACCATGTCAACAGAGAACTCACCAACCAAATACGAAAGGTGTAAGAGTGGATTTTGACCATAGAGCATCTCGTTAAAAGTACCCTTAATGGTAGTGTGATAAGTAGTGTTATAATACGCAGACCCTTCCTTAGGACAATCAAATCAAAAACACCGAAAGTAAGTCCCCAATGTTCTATTAAACACCTCTGTTTGACCATCAATTTGGGGATGGTAAACAGTATATTTTTTTAGTTAGACCCCTTGTAGAATAAATAATTTCTACCAAAATAAACTAATGAAAACAGGATCTCTATCACTTGTCATAGTTACTTCCATGCAACAACACATTATCAAGGAAGCTTTGAGCAATAGCCTGAGCAAGGTAAGGATATTGTAGGCTTATGAAGTGACAAAACCTGCTAAGTACATCTACTACTACCAAAACAACTTCCTTTCCATTTGACTTTGTAAGTCCTTCAATAATAAATCAAGGCATATATTTGTCCAAACACCCTCAGGGGCATGTAATGATTATAATAAATCAGGTGAAGTATCAACATCATGCTTATGCTTATGACAGATATCACATCTGCTAATGAAGTCCCTAATGTCTTGAATAAGGCCCTTCCAATGAAATAGTGATGTATTCTCCTAATAGTGGCATTCATTCCTGAGTGCCCTTCTTGAGGTAAATGTGTCATAACTCTAAAATAGTTCTTCTGAAGGCAAGATCATTTCCCACCACAAGTTTGATTTCCCATCTCAATTGCTCACTATACCAAGTATAAGACTTGAAAGGTTTCACCTGCAACTTGGCAATCATCTTGGAAATTATCTCCTTTAAATCAGGATCAGACACCCATGTTTTCTTAACCTACATGAATAAAGCATTATTGGGAATAAGTAAGGAAGCCAATACCTCAACATTGGGTTTCCTAGATAAGGCATCAACAACCTTGTTTTCAGTAACCTTCTTTTTTTTTATGACAAGGGAAACCCGCAGCCGCTACCCTTTTGGGTGCGCACAGGGTAAAAACCCCCTCCTATGCAATAGCTCGCAAACCACATAGGATAGGTAACCCGCACTAGGCAAGCCCAGTGTGACGAGATCGACCCAGAAGGCAAACCCCTTGCTTTCACTGGCAAGGGGTTTTGAACTTGAGACCTCCAACATGGAAGTCCCAAGCCCAAACCAATGGGCCACCCCGAAGGGTCAGTAACCTTTTTGTACTTAACAGAGAAGTCAAAAGCCATTAACTTTGAGATTCCAGCAATCTAGAAATTTGTATGGATGTTCTATTCTAACAAATGTTTCAATACCTTCTTATCTGTATTGACTACAAAATGTCTCCCCAGCAAATAATGAGACCACTTGGTCACATAAAAATAAGTGCTAATAATTTTGTCATACACAGACATAGCTGATGTTTAGGAGCCAAGGACCTGTTTATATAAGCAATAGAATAGCCTTTTTGCATTTGTACTACTCCAATACCTTGCCATTGGCATCGGTTTAAATCAAGAAAGGTTAGGAGTAATCTGGCATTGCTAGCACATGAACTGATACCGGGGCTTACTTCAAGGTGTTGAATGTTGTAGTAAACTCATTAATCCATACAAAGCCTTTCGTTTTAGCAAGTCATGCAATGGTCTACAAATGGAACCAAAACCCTATGTCAATCCTAGAAACCCTCTCAGTTATTTGATACTGATAGGCATAGGCCATTCCTTTACAACCAAGATTTTCTTTGGATCACTTGAAACACCTTCCAACACTAATAAAATGACCCAAATATTCTACCTTAGCTACACCAAATGCACATTTCGACATTTTTGCACACAATTGAAACCGTTTCATTAAAGCAAACAAATATTTCACATGAGAAAGATGAGAAACCATATTCCTATTGTAAATCAGTATGTCATCAAAGAATATCGAAATTGACTTCCTTGAAAGAGGTTTGAACACAACATTCATGAGAACTTAGAAGAATGATGGAGCATTGTTCAATTCAAAAGTCATGACTAAAAATTTGTAGTTGTCTTCATGAGTTTTAAATGCAGTCTAATGAGCATTACCTTCAGCTATTCTCAATCGGTGGTATCTTGCTCTCAAGTCAAATTTGGAGAACACTTGAGCAACCTTCCAGATTACTTATCTCTGCCCTTTGTATCCATATATTCAATGGCTTCCTTGATCTGAACCCAATTCCTATATTTGTTTGAGCACTGTGATCATGAATATTAGACATACCCTATATGAATTTCTTCAATTGCTCCTTAATCTGCAGAAAGCTATCGTCTGTTTCTTCTGTTGGTCTTTCTTGGTTCGTGCTTCGTGTCGCATATCCATTTCAAGGATTGCTAGCTCTTATACCAATTTATGCATGAAATTATGAAATTGACTAATTCAGGAGATAGAATCTCGATGAAGATGAATATGCTAAGCCAGGGAAATAAATCTAAGAAGAATAGTTGAGAGAATTGTATTCAGAAAGAGAGAGAAAAATTACTTCATTATGCATTAATTATTAATTCTCATACAACATGTATATATACGGCTAAAATGAATCAACTGACTATTATTGCAATTAACTAACTTCACTGTAGCAGCTAAGTCGTAACAAACTAGCAGA